AAATAAAATCTTAAAAAGAAAGAAAGGTCTCGAATGATCTCAGCTATATTAATACCAGACAAGAAAATTCATCTAAGAATATAGAAAAAAGGGGCACCTGGGTGGCTCAGTGGGTTAAGCCTCTACCTTCGGCTCAGGTCATGATCCCAGCGTCCTGGGATCAAGCCCCGCATCAGGCTCTCTGCTGAGCAGGGAGCCTGCTTCCCTTCTTCTTCTCTGCCTGCCTCTCTGCCTGCCTCTCTGCCTACTTGCGATCTCTGTCAAATAAATAAATAAAATCTTAAAAATATATATATAGAAAAAGGGGTGCCTGGGTGGCTCAGTGGGTTGGGCCTCTGCCTTCAGCTGGGGTCGTGGTCCCAGTGTCCTGGGATGGAGCCCCGCATTGAGCTCTCTGATTGGCGGGGAACCTGCTTCCCTCTTTCTCTCTGCCTGCCTCTCTGCCTACTTGTGATCTCTCTCTCTCTGTCAAGTAAATAAATAGAATCTAAAAAAAAAAAAAAAAAAAAAGAATCTAGGGGCGCCTGGGTGTCTCAGTGGGTTAAAGCTTCTGCCTTTGGATCAGGTCATGATCCATGGTCCTGGGATCGAGCCCCGCATCAGGCTCTCTGCTCAGCAGGGAGCCTGCTTCTTCTTCTCTCTCTGCCTGCCTCTCTGCCTACTTGTGATCTCTGTCAAATAAATAAATAAATAAATAAATCTTAAAAAAAAAAATCTAGAAAAAGGGACACCTGGCTGGCTCAGTCAGTGGAGCATGTGCCCCTTGATCTTGGGGTTGTGAGTTTGAGCCCCACGTTGGTTGTAGAGATTACTTCCAAAAAATAAAAAATAAATTAAAAAAAAAGAAGAGCCAATGAAACCTAAAGTAAGCAGAAGAAAAGAAATAAAGATCAAAGTGGATATCAATGAAATAGAAAACAACCATAGAGAAAATCAAGATCATAAAATTGATAAACCTCTAGTCAGACTGATGAGGAAAAAAAAAAAAAAAAAAGACACAATTACCAGTCTTGGGAATGAGAGAGATGACTACTACAGATTTTACAGATATAGAAAGGGAATATCATGAAAAATGTTATGCCAATAAATTCAATAACTCAGATGAAATGGACAAATTCCTTAAAAGATCCAAAGTACTAATACTTACTCAAGAAGTAACTAACGTGAATAGTCTTATATCTATTAAGGAAACTGGAATTGTAGTTGAAAACCATCTACAAAGAGAACTCCAGACCCATGTGGCTTCACTGAGAAATTTTACCAAATATTTAAGGAAGAAATAATACCAATTCTCCATAAACTCTTCGTAAAAAATTGAAGGGAATAACTTAACTCATTCTACGAGACCAGCATTACCCTGATAAACAAAACCAGGCAGGCAAAGATATTACAAGAAAAGAAAACCATAGTGAGGGGTGCCTGGGTGGCTCAATGCATTTAGCCTCTGCCTTCGGCTCTGGTCATGATCTCAGGGTACTGGGATCGAGCCCCGCATCGGGCTCTCTGCTCAGCGGGGAGCCTGCTCTCCCCGCCCACCCCCCAGCCGCGCCTGCCTCTCTCTGCCTACTCGTGATCTGTCAAATAAATAAACAAAATCTTTAGAAAAAAAAAAAGAAAAGAAAACCATAGTGAGATACTACTACCCAAGAGAAAAGGAAATATATGTTCATGCAAAACCTTATACATGAATATTCATAGCAGCTTTATTTGTAACTGCTAACCACTGGGAACAACCCAATGGTGGTACGTCCATCCAATAAAATATGATTAAGAGGAACTACTGGCATATATAACATCGTGCAAGCCTTAAAATAATTACACTGAATGAAAGATAAAAGAATACACCCCGTATTCGTCCACATTTCTAAACTTCCATATATCTAAAGCTATAGAGGTGTCTAGCCAGCTCAGTTGAAATACTGTGTGACTCTTGATCTCGGGGATCGTGAGTTCAAGCCCCACATTAGGCGTGGAGATTACTAAAAGTATAAATAAACCAAAACAACAACAACAGCAGCAAAAACCCCACAAAACCCTCTAGAAAATGGAAACTAATCTAACAGGAGAGCAAGCAGGTCAAAGTCACTCCTGCTGGGGAGTGAATGGGCAGGGAGGGATAGGAAGGATTCATTGTCAAGGGGCACAGGGAAAATTTTGGAAATGACAGACATCTTCACTGTCTTGATTGCAGTGGTGGTTTCATGGAAGTCAAAAAGCATACCATACTGTACACTTTTAATTGTAATACTTGTTGGGGCACCTGGCTGGTTCAGTTGGTTAAGTGTCCTGACTCTTGGTTTCCACTCAGGTCATGATCTCTTGGGTCATGAAATGGAGATTAAGCCCCTTTAGGGCTCTGCGCTCAGCAGGGCGTCTGCTTGAAGAGTCTCTCCCTCTGCCCCCGTCCCACGTGCCACGCAAGCAAGCACACACGCACATGCACGCATTCTCTCTCTCTCTAAAAAATTTAAAATAATAAATAAATCCCCCCAAAATATTGTCACGCTTATTATGTCCACTTTATTAGATTTCAGTTGTACTGCAATGAAGGATCATTTAAAAATACAATACAGTTTTGGGGGCACCTGGGTGGCTTGGTCGGTTAAGCGCCCGACTCTTGATTTCGGCTCTGGTCATGATTTCAGGGTCCTGATACTGAGCCCAGAGTCGGATTCCGTGCTCAGCTCCAAGTCGGCTTGAGATTCTCTCTCTCTCCTTCTGCCCCTCCCACACTCACATGCATGTGCGCGCTCTCTCTCTCTCTCTCTCTAAATAAATCTTTTTTAAAAAATTAAAAAATAGGGACTGCCTGGATAGCCCAGTGGGTTAAGTGGCTGCCTTCGGCTCAGGTCATGATCCTGGGGCCCTGGGATAGAGTCCCCCAACAGGCTCCCTGATCAGTGGGGAGGCTGCATCTCTCTCTGCCTGCCACTCCCTCTGCTTGTGCACTCGCTCTCTCTGACAAATAAATACATAAGTTCTCTTTAAAAAATTAAAAATTAAAAATACAGTTTTAAGAAATTAAAATTGGAGTATACAGTTGGGAAAGGAAATACTGGTTTTCACTGATGATTGGCAACTATCCCTAAGAGAGAGGAGGAAGTGTGTCTTCCTCTCCTTCCAGAACCCAGAAAAAAACCTCTGTGCTAGGCTGATATCAACCACTGGGTTCAGCTGCCAGAGATTTTGGATTTTTAAGATGAAGACTCAGCAGAGGCTGACATTTGCTGTAAACTCATATCAGATGCACCTTATCTGGGCTCAAATATTCTCCCTTCCGGGACAGAAAAGAAGTTCCCAAGTGTTGGTCACAGAGGTCCTGTGGAGCACAGGTGTCTTACCTACATGTCTCCCTTTGATGCTCTGAACATCCTGGCAAGGCAGGTTTAGACTTGAGGAGGCTGATGCCCAGGGAGGGGAAGGCACCTACAGTTGTCCCAGGCAGACTGTCAGAAGTGGGAGTCGATACTACATGCCACCCCCCACCCCCGCCCCCGAGTACAGGGCTAGGCTTCATTCAGCCCTTTGAGTACTTCGGAACCCACTCCCCATCTGTCCCTTTCAATCCTGGAGAAGGGCAAAGCCTGGGTCCTCACCGCTCCCCTCTCCACCCATTCTGCATGCAAAGAAACAGGCTCAGGGAGCTCCTGATTGGTCTTGTGGAGTGCGGGGAGTGTGGGTGAGGGTCTCTCCCACTACAGGACACCCACCATCAAACCCTGTGTTCTCCTGTGTCAAATCCTCAGCCCCTCGGATAGCTGTGGGACAGGCAGCATCAGGCAGGCGTTAGCATCACAGACAAGGTGGGCCTCCTGGCTTACACCCCGGCTCCTCCAGTTTCTAGCTCTTCACCTTGGACAGATCACTTAACCTCTCCCTGTGTCAGCTCCTTACCTGTAAGTGTGAAGAGAATTCAAGGAGTGTGAAGCCATCAGAACAGTACCTGGCCCATGGAAAGGCTACAGGAACGCTCTCTCTAAATAAAGGGCTTCAGCTCTGCCTAGTCCTGAGGGTCTGGGCCCCTGCCATTCCCAGCCAGGGAGCCCAGGGTGGAGGCCCCGGGGATGCTGAAGAGGGCCTGCCCTGTGCCTCCCTTTCACCATGCAGCAGGCACTTTCCAGACCTTGTCATGCTCTCTCCATCAAGATAAGGGGGGGGCTTGGTTCACCTAGTTCCCAAGATGAAGGAACAGGCCCCAAGAGGACACCACCGTGGGTGACAGGACTGCGACCAGCAGAGCCTAACTGCCTCTAAGACTGGGCCTGGGGCAGGCCCATCTGCTGCCTCTAGGGTCTGGAACTCAGGCTGGAGCCCACCTGGCGGGGGCTCTCTGCCCACCAACCTTCATGGCACAAGCCCCCTCCTCCTGGAGTGTCCCTGCCTGTAGTGTAGCCGGTGGCCATGAGGCCCTGACGGCAGGGCCCATGAAGGGGCTGTGGACACCTGCCTGGCAACAAGGCCAACCCTCTTCTCTTGAGCTGGTTTATGCTCGAGCTCAGCTATTGCATCGCGTGCCTCCGTCTGAGAGGCGGGGAGATTGAGACCAGCTGCCGCCGCCTGAATTCTCCCAGAGCTCGCCTGGTGACACCCTGCTCAGGTCGTCACACCATTCTGGCAGGAGTCTCTCCCAGCAGCGACGTTGCAGGTTTGTGGGCTGGACTGGGGCCAATGGTGGGCAGGGAGCAAGGGGAGCAGGAGGGCGGCGTGGGGAACAGAGAGCTTGGCGTCTCTCCAGCAAGGAATCACAGGAGAACACGGCTGCTTGCCTGTGACGGACTTATCAGCCTGCCCAGTACAAAGCTGGCTTCTCCATCTTTCTCCTCTCCGCTGGCCCCTCTCACCTCCCATTCCTTTTTGCCTTGTTCTGGGGAGCCTGAGCCCCTTGTTCTGGAGTGAGGGCACCAGAGACACTTGTGTGGCTCCCAAGCCGATGGGCAGGCCTATGTTTTTAAAACAAGGAGGACTGAGAGGGCCCCAGGATGGAGGGCTGAGAGCTGGACGGGACGATGGAGAGCCAGCCCTATTTAACACAGAGGGGAAAAGGAGAGCCCCAAGGCCGGGAGAGAGAAGCCCTGGCCAGGGCCCAACAGCAAGTCAGAAGCAGAGCTGGGCTGAACCTAGTGTTTTCACACCCTTCCCACCACCTCCAGATAGGGGTTCCTCCAAAAGCAGCCAGGCTGGCAGGGGCCTATCCTCGGGGTGGGCGGGTAGCAACAGAAGGCGCTTTCTTCTTCCCCACGTCTTGCCTGGTCCTAGGACAGAGCACCGTGCCGTCCTCACCCTTCTTGGCCATCACATTTCTGGCCCAAGAGGCTGTTGTATATCTGGCCGACCTAGAATCCGTGCTGAATCATGGTCCCCCCATGGGCGCAACTGTGGAGGAAGGTCAGTTGGTGGGCTGGGTATGCAGGCCCAGGGAGGAGCCCCACCTTCTCTTTGGCCTGGGGCCCCTCTCTCCCCTCATCAGGTCTCTCCTCATCTGTGAGGATCCCCACTGCCTCAGACCTGACCTGGCTCTGCATGGGAGACTTGGGCCGCTGGCTTCCCCGCTCTGGGACTCAGTTTCCCCCAGGACCTCTTTAAATTTCTTCCTTGTCTTTGCCCTGCCCAACTCCTAGCTGGGCTGTACTCCAGCCCTCCACACAACACTGGGGGCGGGGTGGGGCAACCATGGCTTTAGGCTCTGATCTGGAGCCTGCCCTGATGGATTTTGGGGGGAGGGAAGATAGCCTCCTGCTGGGAACAGCTACCCCTGGGGCAACCCTAGGAACACTCCACCCCCTATCTCTTGCTCCTGGTTGGGCCCACCTCCACCTCCTGCGCGCTTTCTTGGGGTCTACCAGAGGGAAGGACTGTGCACATGGGCCTTCAGGCCCTGGAGGGAACACACAAACTCTTTGTCTCTGGTCTCAGGTATCTTCTAACCCCACAGAGTTACCCACTAGGTACAGGGAGCCTTGTGGGTTGGTACTAGGGGTGGTGGGCAGCACGCAACCTGCGGGGGATGAACCTTGCCTCCTATCAGTGTAGTCTTGTCCTCAGCCCCGGGGGTCCTGGGCTCAGGCACAAGATTACTGTGGGGCTCTATTCTGAGCTTTGCCCCTCTGTGGCCTCCCCACTTGCTCCTCTCCAGGCCCCACACAGATGTGATGGTCAGGTCCCTGGCGGCCTCCTCTAACTCCCCAGCCCACAGATGGACCCAACCCCACACCTGGGTGTCTGCCCAGGGAGCACCTGGAGGAAGTCAGTGTGAGCTCGGTCCCTCTCTTTCAGGTGACACTTTGGCCACCCCTTCTCCCAACTCCAAAAGCATGGCTGGCACTAAGTGGCCCTGAGGTCCACGGTGCAGAAAGGCTGAGGCAGAAGAGGGCATCACCATTTACTGCAGGATGGGCCCAGCAGGTGCTGGGTGCTCCCTGCTGAGAGAAGCCTGACACTCCATCCCAGGCCGAGCACATACGCTGGATCCCTGGAGGCCTGGAGGGCCTCCATCGCCCCCATCCCCCGTGCCTAGGAGCATTGGCCTTCTGGTGGGAGATGGATGGTGGGTCACCTCGTGCAGCAGGCCTGGGGCTCAGACCCTGGCCCAGTGGCTGCAGAACCCCAGGTGGAGGCAGCAGAGCTGGCCCCAGACACGCCACCCTCAGGCTCAAGGTCCAGGCCCTCGTAGATGGTGGGGAGTGAGGTGCGCTGGCTGAGCCGCCGGCGCAGGCCAACCAGCAGGGGCTGGGGCAAGGAGGCCACGTCCACGTTGTTGCCCAGGTCCACCCAGGCCAGCGCGGGGAACTTGGCAGAGTCCTTGATGGCCTCGGTGAGCTCGCGCGCAGTGGCCCTTGTCAGCCTGTTGCCGTTGAGCAGGAGCTGGGTGAGGTGGGGCAGTGACCAGAGGCTGGGCAGCAGCAGGCGCAAGAGCTCATCACTCAGCCCCGTGAAGCTCAGGTCCAGCACCGTAAGACCGGCTCCCTGGCTTCGCAGGTAGCGGGTAATGTGTTGCACGTCCCGTGCGGATAGTGGGATCCCCGAGAGGTTCACGGTCTCCCCTGCCAGCTGAGTCATCTGGAGACTGTTCTTGAGGCTGTGGGAAGGTGGCAGGCAAGGATGGATTGAGCAAGGGTCCACGGCCCAGGCAAGTCCCCACTGGCTGCAGAGAGTGACCCGTTGGGGCAGCCCACCAGGTGGTAGGGGGACTGGGCCCTGCAGTCAGGCGGCACTGGGATCAAACCGCTACTTCCTACGTGGGTGGCCATGGGCAATTCTTGGAACCTCTCTGAGCCTCAGTTTCTCCTTTGGTGAAAAGGGGACCTGGCTGTTGTGAGGAACAAACGTCCACATGTTAAGCTTCCCTAATCCGTTATTATTACAAAAGCCTACTGCGTGCCTGGGTCACCACATGTGTTACATCTAGAGTAAGAACAATGATCCCATTCTGCAGAGGGGCGAATGACGCTCAGAGAGGTGACGGGACTCTTCCATGGTCACATACCACTAGGAGGGAAGCCAAGTCTTCAAAATGAGGGTCTCTGACTCCGGAGCCCACACCTTTTTTCCCACGCCTCCTCTAAGGTTGATCCTTTGTGGGTAAAGATAGATGTTCCTATGAGGGTGACAGGCTATCAGGCTAGTCCCCCCGGCTTTGGGGACTAGAGGAGGACAGGTCCAGAGTAGCAAGAAGGGAGGTGTTGGTAGGTGAAGGGCCCCTGTGTTCTAAGCTGGAAAGGAAGTTTAGAGACCGAGAAGGGTCCCCCCTAACTCTGGAACCCCCTCTGGGTCTCTCTTGTCATTTGAACATGGCCTACTATGCAGGGAGGCAGTGGGACCAACTCCAGTGCCCTCACTCAGCATGGCAGGGAACAACCCCATGGGCTCTGGGCTCGTCATGAGCCATCAGGCTCGAAGTATGAGGAAGCAAGCAAGGGAGAGCACTGGGGCTGCGGTTCTGGGTCCCTGGACCTGGGTGTCTGCAGGCAGTCCTTAGGCTGCATCTGGCCATGGAGCTGTGATGGAGTGACTGGGAGGGGGACCCACAGCAGAGCAAGTTCTCAGGATGGCTATGGAGGCCTTCACTTCAGGCAGCCTGGCAAAGGCTTTTCAAAGAGCTGTAGGAAAATCAGGGTCAGGTGTGGCCTTGGGCAAGCCACCTTGCCTCTCCCAACCTCAGTTTCCTTTCCTGCGAAATAGGCATCATGAGCCAGAATCCGTCCCCCTCACAGCCTGTTGAGAGGATCCAGCGGATGTCTGCTGAAGTCACCTTGGCCCTGGGGTCGGGGCCAGGCCCTGTGACAAGCCAGGGATTGAGGGGCAAGTGAACGGCAGGAGGCAGGTCACACAGAGGGTTGCAGCTAGGCTTGGGAAACATTCCAGAGCTTCGATGCAGACAAGGGTGAGGGGCTCACTGGGGACAGGCTCAGGGCCCCGCTGCCTGCTGAGCTGCCTCTCCTGGTTGGCCTAGAAAGGGACCCTAAGGGGCCACAAGGTAGGGCTGTGGCTGGGCTCCCCTTACCAGCTCTGAGTCTTCCTCCGGGGCAGGCTGGACCCTCGCTGCCGCTTGGAGTGAGGGGTGAGGTGGTAGATGAGCTGGCGGCAGATCTTATCTGAGGATTTCCAGAGCTCATAGTCCTGTCGGGGGGCAGTGTTGTCAGGGTGAGGCTGAGCCCCATCCCTCCCCCCTCATGGGCCTTGGGGATCCAAGTGTGTGCCCCAGCACATGACTCATCATGGATCGCTGAGCTGCCCACTAGCCTCCCCCGCCCACCCCCGACCCTGGCTGTAGCCTGGCCCAGAGCCAGGGGAGGCTGCCCGCTGGTAACTGGACAGGCTGGTCCGAGGCCCGCAGTGCCAGGCGGGAGGAAGCCCAGACAATGGGCCCTTGTTCCCTGTCCTCAGGCCCAAGGCCAGTGTCTCGGGCTATCAGCCGGCTCCCTGCCCACCCTCAGCGCTCCCCGGGGGACTTGTCACCAGGGGAGGCAGGACCGGGCCCCTCCAGGGAGCCCTGCTTCACTGACGCCACCCTCAGGGAATGGGAACCAGCCAGGTCAGCACGCTCTTCTTCCTCTCACTCTCCAAGCCTGCCTGTGGGGCCTGGGTCTGGGCTGCCAGGGCTGGGAGGGTTCATGGTTAAGGTACCACCACTTGGATCTCTCCTGGGCTGAGGTGGGCCCTCGTAGAGATCTAGCTCGGAGGACAAACAGGGATGCTCTGTTTTCCTGGAGCTGGCACTGAGCACACTCCGCTATCCAGCACTTTCTTCATCCCGTTCCTCTGTCAATAGTGTGTACGCACAGCAGCAAGCCCTGCCCGTCGCCATGTGGCTCTTGGCTAGCCTCAGAACCCCTGGGGACCGCTGTGTATAGATGCAGGGGTCTGGAGCTGGCTGTGCCCATAGCAGGCACCCTTGTTTCACACAGAGACTCACTGTGACTGTGGGGTGGTGGCCGTGTCAGGAGCACAGCATGGGAAGGATGCTCATGGGAAGGATGTTGCCGGTGCCCCCAGAGTGGGGTTTGGAGCGGATGTGGTGGTTTGGGAGAAGGGGAATGGAGGCCCCAGGTGTATCCATACAGGATGGGGACATGTGGACAGGGGTTCCAGCCTAAGGTGGCTCTCTTCTGGCCCCAGGAGCTCAGAGGCTGGGAGTTTGTTTCCATCAGATTTGTCAGAACATTCTATGTCCCAGTGTCCCTGTGTGGTGTTCTGTCTGGGTCCCAGGTCCTGGAGCCCAGGAAGCAGGTCTACCCAACACACGACTTTTGGAGAGTAGGAAAGCACAGCTCACGTGTGTTCCTAGTACACTGAACCTGGCCTTAGGTCCCAGTGAGGGACATTAACCTACTTAAGGCCTTGAAGCAAGCCAGATGAGGACGAGGCTCCTAGCCCCCAGCCCTGGGCGCTCCTGGTCCCTGTTAGCTGCGTTGCCCAGTCTGAGGTCCGTGTCTACAGGCCTCACCGTTTTGGGGCACTGCAGGTCCCGGGCCAGGTTCACAAGCAGGTCATGGGAGATGGGGTCCACCAGATTGAGGAAGGCCACATTCCTGTAGAGGATGTCGGTGAGGAGGGTCCCCTCGAGGCCCAGGTCCTGTGAGTGGTGAGGAGAGTTGAGTGAGCGGAGTCAGGCTCTCCTTTCTCCAGGCCCTCATCCAAGCCAGCTCCTCACATCTGTTCCCCTCTCTTGGGCTCCCTCCTTGATGCTTGCTGGAGTCTCTTCCCAGGCGGCAGTGGGCCTGCTGTCCAGGGGCAGTGGGGACCCTTTGGATGAGGAAAGTGTCAGTGCATCGGGCCCTTCAGGGAGGTGCTAAGGAGGTTCTAAAACCCTTAGACTATTTTCCCTGGAGGGGAAACATGGTACTGTGCCACCTGCCACCTCTGGGGTTGGGCTTATCTGGAGGGTTCTTTGGGGGCTTCTCTGATAACCCCCCAGTGCCGCTGTCCTACAGCATTCCTTCAGGACCCTTTGCCTCTCTTCCACCTATTCCCAAGGTCTCCGAGTTCTGGCCGCCATCTGTTTGCTGACAGGTGCAGGCCCCATTGTGGGGGACGGACCTCTCTCTCCGTTCAGATGTCCGAAAGGCAGCTCAGACTGGGCGTGTTCACCTCCTGCCTTGAAGCTGGCCTTGCCTCCTGTGCCCCAGCTCAGTAAAGGGCATCACCATTCCCACCATCCCAGCAGGAGCCCAGAACCACCCTGCACTCTTCCCTCACCCTTCTCTGCCCAGCTCTCCCTCCCTACTGCTCAAGGAGTTTCAGGCCTTTCTACCTAACAGCCTCCTCCTGGGCCTGTTGCCTCCCAACAGCCACCTAGTTCCAACCCTTGGGCTGCCAGAGCCAGCTCCAGGAAACACATACCTAAGCTCGACCCTTAACCCCTTTGGTGGAGACCAAATGCTCTCGTATAACACTAGAGACTCAGGCACAGCCTGGCCTTCCCACCCTCCCCAGCCCCCCAGTCTCTTTTTCTGGCCTCCATGTCTCCTACCCCTCACAGACACCTCACCACTGGGCCTCTGGCCTGACCTGGCCTCCCTGCCTTCAGTCCTTCAGACTTCCCATAGGCCTGGTCTGGCACTGAACACCCTTTTAGAGTAATTCTGACAAGCTGATGGGACAGGTGCAGCCAGGAGGGGCCTCCAGACCCCTGGGTCCTCCCCAAGCCAGAGAGTGAGACCCTCTGTGCGTAAACCCCCTGTGCACAGGAAGATAGGCCAGGTGGGAAGGCCCAAGGACCATAACTGCAGAGTCCCCACGGCTTGTGGGGCTGGACAGCCCCCTCTTTCGATGGGAATCCTGACCTCTGAGACATGAGGGGGCAACATAGCTGGTTTCCCGGCTTTAAAAAAATGTCCTGCTGGCGCCTTGGGCTCCAGATACCATCACAAAGATCTGTACCTCTGGATGGTCTAGCTGGTTGGGTGCTGCTTTGCTGTTTGCATTTTAAAACACCATTCAAGTTACAAATGCCAGCTAGGGAGGATCTAGAAGAGAGGTCTAGCTGGTGAGCCCAAGCTGACCCATACAGGGCCCCAGTCCCACAGCCAGCCTTCTGCTGGTCTGGACAGCTCCTCTTAAAGGGCCAGCCCCACCTTTCCAGCCCAGTGAGCCTAGATAAAGGAAACTCAGTGCAGCAAGGGGTGGGGCTGGGAGACTAGAGGTTGAGCTCTGGCTTCGCTGCCCCTTAATTTTCTTGGTGGCCATAGGCTTGCCACTGTTCTCCAAGCCTCAGTTTCCCTTCTCTAATCATCTACCTGCAGGCCAAACACCCGCATGGCTGATTTCAGATTCCAGGATGGGGCATATTGGGGCAGCAGCTGCTGTGGGGGATGGGGACATGGCCAGAGAGGAAAGTGGCTTGCCCAGTGTTGATGCTGGGACCAGAACCCATGTCTCCTAGGGCACCCCAGGCTGGCTCAGGTACCCGGTGTGTGTGGGACCAGAGGTGCACCCCCCCACCCCCACCCAAGTCCAGATGTGCTGTTGTGATGTACAGATGCCAGTGTATGTACTCAATGGGCGTGACCTGCCTATCAGGAGGACGGGTGGTGTGAGTTGTAGCTGCCATAATGTCACGATGAGATGGCACCGGCTGACCAGCTGGGCTGTCACTTTCTGGGGTCCTCTCTCCAGGGTGCTGTGCAGTGAGTGCCTCCCTTCACCCTGGAGGAGCCAGGAGCTGTCCTCTTCCCCTTGCCCCTCAGTACAAGACGTGTTCCCCTCCCTCCACTCCCTTGCTGCTCCTCCCAGCCCTACTCTTCTCCTGCCAAGGCCTGAATTTGGGTTCTTAGCTCCAGGCTTGGGGCTCCCTCAACACACACAACTGACCTCTCCAACCCCGGAGAAGTGGACTGCAGTCACGATCCCCGTCTCCACACTCACAGCCCCCAGCCCACCTCCGCAGCCCCGCCGGCCTCCACCCCAGCCCATTGCTTTCTGTGCCTCGCCCTCTCGCCCAGACAAGACCCTTCAGCCGGTCGCACCCTTCCCTTCGGAACCCTCCCGGCCCGCGCACGCAGTCTGGGGCCAGCCCTGTCTCCCGCGCCCCGGGCCAGCTCCGCAGCACCTCCCGGCCCCTCCCCGGCCTCCAGCCCCGGGCCGGCCCGCTCCTTCTCTCGCCTGGCGCAGGAGGCGCAGTAGCTGCCGGGCGCGCTCGGGCCGCCGCTCACGGAGCATGGACTGGATCTCGCGGAGCCAGCGCACCCGGCGCTCAAAGGGCGCGGGCCCGCACCCCGCCGCCGCCCCGGCTTCCGAGCCCGCCTCGGGTCCTGTCCGCCGGCCCAGCCGCGCCCCCATGGCCGCGGAGCTGCCGGCGCGGAGCTGGAGGGAGTCCCAGCCGTCTGCGCACCGCCCCCGGCCGGGGCTGCAGCGGGTGGGGAGCTCGGGATCTGGTGGTGCGCGCCCGGGCGGGGCCGCAGCAATGGAAGGGAGCGGGGGGGGGGGGCGGTTCCTGCTGGGCGCCCCCGCCCCCGAGCTCCCAAACACTCGGTTCGGGAGGTCTCGCTAGGGCCCGCGCTGGAATGGGCGCCAGAGCTATGTCGCCAGGGCCCGGAGCGGTTGGGGGAGGCGCTGAGTCGGGGCCGGACGAGGTGGCGCTTGGCCATGGCCTCCATGCTGACTGTGGAACAGTCGCTTTGGTGGTGCAAAGAGCACTGGACTCGGAGTCAGGGCGGGCTGTGTGGGGATTCCGTTGCCAGACTTAGGCAGTACCATCAGCTGCCTTCAGGAATTTCCCCGGCAGTGGGCGATTGTAGTAACTGACCTGTCCAGCATAGATGTTCCTGCTTGACAAATATTTACTACCCCTCCCTGCCTGGCTGGGGGCAACTGTGGGCAGGCTAGGTGATGCGGGCTCCCTGTGACCCAGGCCTGGGAGATTGGGGGAATGAAGAGTGCTGGTTAACCCGGAGGGCTAACTCTGCGTGGGCTGGCAGGGGGTCAGTTGCACCTGCCCCAGGCTTGGGTCTCCCAGCTTGACAGGGGTGCGGAGGCAGTGTGAGGAGGGGGGTCCTGGCTCCTCCAGGGATCATGTTTGAGCTAGGGACCTACCCAGCTCTAGGAGCCTTCTTGGGGGCGTACTCTCCCCTACTGGCCCCCCAATTCTGGGCCCTCACATTCCCTGGGTAGGGGACATTTGAGGTTCCAGACCCCCAAATCCCACAGCAAAGAGGGTGTGTCCAGCCCAAGAGGACAGGTGCAGGAGGGGTGAGCACAGACAGGGTATGTGGGCAGTGAGGTGTGGCCATCTGAGGGCACATGGTAGGTGAGGGCAAACTCAGTTCCTCTTTTGGGTTAAGTATTGCCGTCCAGGAGCGTGTCTGGGGACAAGGTGCCAGGTTCTGTGGTTCCTCGGGGCTGAGCCTCTGGTACAAGACAGAGAACAGCTTAGTGTCCTTGTCACTTGACTGTCCACTGAACCCCGACCCCTGTTGTTGCTTGTTTGGACGCCCCTGTTGGGACTGCTCCTGGGGCCTTTCTATCCTGGGCCCCCTTCTCCCCTGCCATCTGCCAGCTGGACCCAGCAGCCTCCACTACCCCCCTCTGTAGTCAGCATTGTCCTGGGGCCACCTTGGCACCACAGGTTTCCTTCCTGGCAAACCCGCATGACCGCTTGGCCTGCCTTCCTCCAGGGCCCAGGCGCTGTTGCTGACCTGACGTGGTGGTGACGGGACCAGAGACTTAAGCAGCAGCCACTTGCCCCAGGGACCTCTGAGACCCCGGTCCAGAGCTGACAGCCTGGTAAGAAACCCCTCCCTTTCCTCTACATCCTCAGGGCTGGACCCAGAGCTGGGATGTCTCCCAAATTCTGACCACATCCTTCCAGAGGCCGAGCCAGGCCTGGACATTGTCCCCTCAAACATGAGAAAGCTGAGGTGGGGGTGTGGGGGGGTGGGGAGGGAGGGGGCAACCCAGCCAGTGACAGGTGGGGGTGCTCAGAGTTGGAGTCCTGTGGAAAGCAGAGAACTGCCCCCAGCCCCACCTCTGAGGTCCCACCCCACTCTCTGTGTTCTTGGCTGAGAGATTCCTGGAGGACATTTTCCCAGAAAAAGAGGGAGGTGGCGTCTGGGCCTGGATCCCTGGATGGGCCTCCTTCTGCCTCCTTTGGGGGTGGTTAGGTTGAGTTGGCTCTTAGGGAGTGTTTCTGGACTAAACTGAATTGGGCAGGAGGCCCCCGAGACAGAGCTGTGCCCTCAGGCGTGGGGGGGGGCAGCATTTCCCCTTACTAATCTCCATGTATATTTAAGTAAAGGCCTCTCTCCCTGGAATTGCCTTACTCAGTAGGTCTCTGTTTGTGGAGACCCCATTGAGTGGGTGGGTCAGGGGTGGGGGGCGGGTGTGTGCTCTGATCACCCTCCCAGCCGCTAGGGCTGATATGGAGGTCCCTGGGGCAACCAGTGAGGCGTGAAGTTGGGGAGCCAGACACTCAGGTGGGAAGGACACAGCTGGACCCCAGGCCTTCCTGGGGGCATCCTGGGCCCCAAGTGGGGCCTGCGTGGAGACAAGGAGCAGCACCAGTCACATCTTTGGCTTCCCACACCCTTGCCCACTCCACGTGGTGGCCCCGCTGGAGTAACAGGGAGCCATGGTCCGGATGATCCAGTAGAAGGGGAGAAGTGATGTGGCTGGAACTGGACCTGCCTCAGGCTTTGGGCCTCTCCTCCATCTGCTCAGCGGGAGAGTCTAAGCCCTGGTACCTGCAAGTTTATGGTACTTTAGCAAGTAGCCAGGTGACAACAAGCCTTCTGGCAGCAATGTCAAAGAAGGATGAAGGATGGTTTGGGAACTCACTAGGAAGAAAGAAGCAGACAAACCCTCGATGGAAACAGTTTCTCTTGGAGCTGGCTCTATAGGCAAGTGTTGTAAGCCTGCTGCGGGGCCAGGAATCCCCATGGTGGAGGGAGGGGGACAAAGGTAGAGGCTCAGGACTGATCAGAATCCTCTGTACCTGTCCTTTTTAGGGTATATGAACATAGGCAAAGTAGGTGGCTGTTACTAGTTTTCTGTGGCTGTTGGAACAAATGATCACAAACTTGGTGGCCTAAAGCAACAAACATATTCCCTCACAGTTCTGGAGACTAGAAGTCGGAAATCAAGGGGTTGGCAGGGGCTGCAGTGCCCCTGAGGGCTCTAGGGAAGAATCTTCCTTTGCTTTTTCCTAGCTTCTGGCAGTGACTGGCATCCTTGGCATTCCTTGGTGTCCATCTCCATCACTGCCACCTGGGCCTCTGTTGTCACCTGGTTATCTTACCTGTGCCTGTGTGTCTCTCCTAAAATGGACTTCCTTATTTATTTATTTTTTAAGATTTATTCATTTAGGGTGGCCTGGGTGGCTCAGTCAGTTAAGCTCCTTCAGCTTAGCTGCCTTTGGCTAAGGTCATGATCCCAGGGTCCTGGGATTGAACCCCGAATCGGGCTCCCTGCTCAGCGGGGATCCTGCTTCTTCCTCTCCCGCTCCCCCTGCTTGTGCTCTCTCTCTCTCTCAAATAAATAAATAAATCTCTTTCTCTTATTTTATTTTATAAGATTTTATTTACTTATTTGAGAGAGAGAGAGAATGAGAGAGAGAAAGCATGAGTGGAGAAAAGTCAGCAGGAGAAGCAGACTCCCTGTTGAGCAGGGAGTCCGATGTGGGACTCGATCCTGAGACTCAAGGATCATGACCTGAGCCGAAGGCAGTTGCTCAACCAACTGAGCCACCCAGGTGCCCCTCTCTCTCTTTTTTAAAAGATTTTATTTATTTATTTGAGAGAGAGTGAGAGAGAGAGGAGGGAGACACAGAGGGAGAGGGAGAGAGAGTCTCAAGCAGACTCGCCAGAGCCCAGAACCCAGCTGGCCTGATGCCACGATCTGGAGCTCACCACCCAGATAAAACTAGGAGTTGGATGCTTAACCACCTGCACCACCCAGGTGCCCCTCTTCGTGTGGCTCCCCCCCCTTTTTTTTTTTTTTTTAAGATTTTATTTATTTATTTGACAGAGATCACAAGTAGGCAGAGAGGCAGGCAGAGAGAGAGGAGGAAGCAGGCTCCCCGCTGAGCAGAGAGCCCGATGCGGGGCTCGATCCCAGGACCCTGGGATCATGACCTGAGCCGAAGGCAGAGGCTTTAACCCACTGAGCCACCCAGGCGCCCCAGCTCCCCCCCTTTTTTAAAGATTTTATTTACTCATTTGAGAGAGAGGGCTACTGGAGCATGAGCAGGAAGGAACAGGGTGGAGGGTCAGAGGGAGATGATGTAAGAAAGACGATGTTAGGGTTCAGAGCCAACGGAAGAAAGAATTCTTGAGACATCTTTGGTGCTAAAAGGTGGTGTTATTAAAACACAGGGATAGGACCCGTGGGTAGAAAGAGCTGTACTGGGGTCATGAGGAGTGGCCCATTATAGACTTTCAAGTTGGGAGGGGGTGAGGGGGAACCTAAGTCTTTAAGGAATTTTGGAAGCAAAGTTTCCAGGACCTTGAGGGGGGCTGGCTATTGATGGGAAAAGGTCATTTATTAACCTTAGTTTGAATAGACTCATAGACCCTTCAGAAGTGTATCCGTGGGCCATATGCTTCGGGGATGATTGCCAAAACATATCTTGGGGGGTTTAGAGCTAAAGGAATTTTTGAAAAGAACTTTTGTGCGTTAAAGTAGACTTATAGGATCCTGGTGGTGGGGTTGGGGGGTGGTGAGGGTAGGACTGCTTTTTGCCCTTAGCGAAGTATTAACATTGAGGCAGTTGAGTCCCTAGAGGAATGTCACTCTGCCTGTTTCAAGGACTTGTCAATGGGCTACAGGTTGTAAGGAAATGTAATAATTTTTCTTCTGCCTTTGTTTCCCATATCAGGAGAGGGACCCCAGGGTCATGACCTGAGCCGAAGGCAGATGCTTAACCCACTGAGCCACCCAGGTGCCCGCCCCCTTTTTTAAAGTAATCTCTGTACCCATCTAGTAATCTCTACACCCATCGTGGGGCTTGCCACTTAACCAAATGAACCACCCAGGCGCCCTATTCTTACAAGAACACTGGTTATCCTATTTAGGACCCACGCTAACGACACCTCAAAGACTATTTCTAGACAAGGTCACATTCAGAGCTCCCAGATGGTAATGAATTTGGGGGGATGCTGTTCTGTTTACTGTGGTAGCGGTAGCTTCCACAAACTTAAGTTTCCTCACCTGTAACATGGGGAAAATAGGATGCCTGTCCAACATTTTATTGTAGGATTAGCCACAACAAAGAAAGAGTCCAGCACACAGTGGTGTTTTCACAGATTGATTTTCTATGGCTTTGTATTGAGTCCGCCCAGATGCCCCACAGCCTTCACTGGCCCACTCAGTGACGACCATTGGGCCCTGTGGATACTGAGGAGCCTAAGATACGGGAAGTCAAACTAACAGCTACCCCACAGGGTGGGGAGGGGTGTTGGGGGCCCTTACAGGAGTTGAGGGAGACACCTGACCAGGAGGTAGGGGAGGACTCCTGGAGGAAGGGGGAGGACTTCTGGAGGAGGTTGTGTTGGGTCCATGGTCAAAGGAGCAAGACTGATACAAAGCGAAGATCAAGCAAAGCTTTATTTCGCGCCAAGGATCGAGAATCAAACTGACGGGCCAGGGCCATCTCTTGCAAAGAGGCGACCCCTCTTGTCTTT